GCCAGGAAGTGGCACTTACAACTTACACATCGTGTTTGACAGCTGATGTCCTGTGTTAACGGAGCCTCAGGGAGAGGGGAGGAGGGTAGAAGTGGGAGGAAATGTAGCTCTTCACTAGGCAGATGCTTTGAGGCTATGGTTCAGATACTGTGGACAAGGAGAACTGATGTTGGGAGCAACTGTCTCTGTCTCTAGAACCATTGTGAAAACGTAAGTCAGAGATTGGAGAAGATATAAAGGAAAACTGTATGGCGCTTCCATTTCCTTTCCATCGATTAGCAAGATGTCTGATAACACCAAGTGTTGGCAAGGTCTGGGAACTCAGGAAACCTTCGAACACTGTTAGGTATCCATCACAGTGCAGGGAGGAGTGGTGTGGAAGGATATTCGGCAGCAAAGAGCAGAAACAAACACCTGTTTCTCAGTTAAAAAAAAAAAAAGATATGTGAAATACTGTTAATTAGTATGACAGAATATTATTCACCTGTTAAAATGAATGACCCATATCTACATGTATCGAGCTAGATTTCTCAATGTGGTATTGAATGAAAAGTCCAGGTGTTGGGGGAACAGTGCATTTATGTACTTTCAAAAATAGCTTATATTGTTTATCAAAACGTATATGTTTAAAAGATGAAAACGCATATGGGAATCTATTTGGCAGTTTCAACTTATTTTTTTTTCTTGGCAGAGAGGAAAGAGGGTGGGTCTTTAGCCTTACCACTAATGAATTATTTTATAAGATATTTGAAGCAAATATACAAGGCTAATATCTCTTTAATTTTGGTGTGGGTTGCAGTTGATCATATTTTATTTTTTGTAAATTTTTTAAGTGTTTAAAATGGAGCATTAATAATTAGAACATTTCAAAATTTTTGGAATGGGAAAGAATGAATGGGAAGGTGTGGTGTGTTCATATACCATGACGTCCTACTCAGCCATAAAAATAGAATGAAATCTTGCCATTTGCAATGACGTGGACAGAGCTAGAGAGCGTTATGCTAGGTGAAAGAAGTCAGTCAGAGAAAGACAAATACCATAGGATCTTACTCATACGTGGAATTTAAGAAACAAAACAAATGAACGAAATTAAAAAAGAGAAAGAGGCAAACCAAGAAACAGACTCAACTACAGAGAACAATCTGATGGGGGGGGCGGTGGAGGATGGGTGACATAGGTAATGGGGATTAAGGAGAGGACTTGTTGTGACGAGCACTGGGTGATGTATTGTGTCGGATCACTGTACTGTACACCTCAAACTAATACTATATTTTCAGTTAACTGGACTTTGAAACAAAACTTAAAAAAAACACATGAAAACAACTTTTGGCATTTCTTATCATTAGAAGTAGCACACAAATGGAAAGCAAAGATGAAAAGAGGAAGAGAGAAGCCTATTATTTCTTTTCTGATTTTATGGTTGACTAGATAGCTAGTCCTTAGTGCCAGTAGCACATAAAATTTTTATTTTAACTTTTCTGATATGAGTGTAATTCTAGAAAACAAACCCTTATGAACACATAATTTAGTGGAGTGTAAATGTCTCGTTTTGAAATGTTCTCTTTTCTTAATAGTGTATTCTAAATATTTTAGCATGCCATTTTTTTTAGGAGCTTATTTCTGAATAATTGCCTATTTTGCTATCGTATGAAACTTACTTAACCAGAGTCTCCCTGTCTCTCCAGTCTTCGTTCCTTTGTCTCCTTTCTTTTGGCAATTCCTTGCATTTTGCTCTCCTCTTTTTGTTCCGGGGAGAAAAAATGAAGTATTCTTTTATTACACAGTTGAGTTTGCAAAGGGAAGTGTTTAGTCAAATGAGATTTTGCAGGTTTGGCAATACATGATATTTAGTAATTAGATGCTGTGTCTTTGGTTGTGTATTTGTCTGTTGGGTTCTAAAAGGTGACCACTCAGGGAAATTGGCCAGGCTATATCCGTATAAATTTTTCTGGTGAGTAAAGGCGAGTTACAGAACATTTAACATAGAGCTTTGCCATGTTATTGAATATGAAAGCCACAGGCTTCATGTGGGTGTTTAAATTTGAATTAATAAAAAATAAAATTAAAAATTCAGTTCCTTCAGTAAGCTAGACACAGTTCAAGTGCTTGGTAGACACACATGGCTAGTGTCTGACCATGTGGACAAACAGGTACAGAACGTTTTCAACATCACGAAGAGTTCTGTTGGACCACCTTGGGGTGAAGTTTATATGTGTTACCTGTTCTGTTAGAATTTAAAAATCATTTTTGTTTTTAATTTTCTTCCTGGATATTATAAATGCCAGTAAAAGTCACTGATTTTGGAAACTGTCAACAGCTCAAAATTACTTAAAGTAATTTTTACTTTCCTACCAACTTAATATTTAAAATTATGTCCGAAGTAAAACATGTATCAACCTAGGGTTAATAGCATTTAGAAATTCTAGAACAGGGCGCCTGGGTGGCTCAGTGGGTTAAGCCACTGCCTTCGGCTCAGGTCATGATCTCAGGGTCCTGGGATCGAGTCCCGCATCGGGCTCTCTGCTCATCAGGGAGCCTGCTTCCCTCTCTCTCTCTCTGCCTGCCTCTCTGTCTACTTGTGATCTCTGTCTGTCAAATAAATAAATAAAAATCTTTAAAAAAAAAAAAATTCTAGAACATTTAAAACTTTTTAAAAATTTATTTTATTTTAGATTTTATTTATTTATTTGACAGACAGAGATCACAAGTAGGTAGAGAGAGAGGAGGAAGCATGCTCCATGCTGAGCAGAGAGCCCGATGCAGGGCTCAATGCCAGGACCCTGGGACTATAACCTGAGCCGAAGGCAGAGGCTTTAACCCACTGAGCCACCCAGCTGCCCCCAAACTTTTTTTTTTTTTAAAGATCTTTCTTATTTATTTGAGAGAGAGAAGGAAAGTACACAAGGAGAGTGAGAGGGAGAAGCAAGAGGGAGAAGCTGACCCCCCCTCCCCACCGAGTAGGGAGTCCAATATTGGACTCGACCCAAGGACCCTGAGATCATGACCTGAGCCGAAGGCAGATGCTTAACTGAGCCACCCGTATGTTCCCTAAAAACTCTTGATATAATACAAAGTCCCCAGGTGGGCAGGGTAGGGGTATGCTCTCAGATCTCTTGGATGAAGATCTAAAGAAGATGAGGTGGAAAGAGGGGCTCATTGTTTTAAAAGATGCCCAGAAGATGCTTAATTTGGGACATATAGTTTTAAATTGTAATTACAGTATGGCCTCAATAGAAATTAATCTGGAGAAATTAAGAAATGCTGGAAAGAAAAAATACAGGGGGTGCGTGGAGAGGAACCGCCCCTAATCGTGTAGCCATTGGGAACAGCCAGCATTACTTATCATGTACCCGCCAAGCCTCCTCTCTGTCCTGCTCACCAACAGTGAATGAGGTCAGTGAAGAAGGCAGCTGAGATGGAAGTCTGAGAGGCAGTCAAGGGATTAAAATACAAAACTCACTGAAGACTATATTACTGATAGTACTGATCACTATTTTTATTTTCTTTTTCCGGTCACTAGTATGTAGGGAACACAGACCTTTGGTAAGAACCTAGTAAGTATGAGCCTCCATACTTCCTGTTGCAGGGAAGCGGATGTTGAAATAAGAAAGCTAAAAGAGTTGTATGAGAGGCTAAGCTCAGTATTCTATGATAGTATTTGTTGGGGTGATCTAATTTTTGATAATGACTCAAGCAAAATTAATTTAGCTCTTAGGTTGGATGGTTTTGTTTTAAATTATACTTTTGATAGTTTCTCACATCAAATCTTCCTCCTTTTAGAGCTTGTATTCTTTAAAGATTGGTTTATTACCCTACGGTGATTAATGTTGGAAGATTCCAAGATTTTAAGTAAAAATGTGGCCCTGATAATTCTGGTAATATCATAAGTGTCAAAATTCTTTCCCTGATACTTTGCATTGAGGGCCAGGTTGCCAAAAAGGTAATAGAATCCTCTCTAAGCAATAGCATCTGGCTAATCAAAATAAAATCTATCTTCCAGACTTTTACAAGAGAGTTTGGTTAGGCTTTGAGCCTAATTAAAGAGTCAATTACTTGATACCTATGAGTGTACTATGTGATACCTGTTAAAAACTGGAAATTCTGAGTTTTTTTTTTTAATATATAGTGGGGGTAATTTTTCCAATTATAAATAAGAGGGTCAAGTAAGTTTTCAAGTATAACATTTTAAGGACAGCTATGTAAGAGCCAAAATGGATAAAACTTAAGAGCCAACAGTTTCGCATTTGTCAAAGCGTCTTGCATTTCTTAATGATAATACTAGATTTTTTTTAAGGAACTCTGTTTGTCTTATAATGCATTATAATATATTCTTGCCTTTGTGTTTTTGAGGGGAATGATGGGAAAGGAAGGACCAAATTTTATTTGATAATATAATTTTATTCTTGTTTTATAGTGCAGAAAATTATTTCAGCGAAACAGTTATGAGAAATGTCTGTATGAGCAATCCCTTTGTTTCTTAGAAGTTTGAATTTGTGGGGGAAGGTTGACAATTAAGGGAAAAAAAGTCTAAAAAGAAGAGCGTGCTGGGAAAGGAGTTCCCAGAGCGCACCAGCCCCCATGTTCTTGACGGTGGTCACATACCAACCTGTCAGGATGGGGTGCTGGCTTATCACTTGGCTTTAATCATAATTTATGTGTTTAGCAGGAATATAAACTACAGCCTTTAAGTATTGAAACGCTATGTTTTAGAAATGACATATTTTGTAAAACCAGCAATTATTCATGGGAAAAACAAAGGTTTACGTCTTCTGTGGGTTCACTTTGATAACATTCCCCCTGGCCCCCCCATTTGACATCGCGTTAGAAACACTGGCTCGTACGTGAATTACACACACGAATTTGTCCTCTGTAGGTTTATAGGAACATAGAATTTTTCTTTGAAGGTTTAGTGGATCAGTTTTTATTCGTGGCGATAAAAATCTTCAAATATCTCGCTGTTGGCTAGCAGGTGAACTTATATTCATTTGCGTTTCTTCCAGATTCACGAAAAACTCCACTACTACGAGAAGCAGAACCCCGTGCCCATCCTCCACGGCGCAGCGGTCTTGGCCAATGACGTAAGTGTGCCTTCCTGAGCTCCCCGGGACCCGGCTCCCCCAGGCCTGGCCGGGGCAGAGCTCATCCTGGCGCAGACCGATGCGTGCGATCCTAGGAGCGAAAACCAGGAGAAGCTGCAAATGTTTCCAGAAGGCCTGTCATCACAGAGCTTATGCGGATACTATGCTGATTTTCATTCACTCTCCTGCTCTAAAAATTTTGCCTGGAGATAACTAACCCTCTCGCTCTCCCTCGGTAACTACGTACTAGAAATTTTAGCCTGCAGCTCTCCAGGGAGAGAGAGAGAAGCTGTCAGCTAGGAGTGTTCTGAGAAAGTCACAGGAAAGAGGAATGCTTTGGAGAAATAAAGACAAATGAGATAGGTCTATTGCTGACAGTGCTAAAAAATGACAGATACCAGTATAGGAACGAGGCCTTCTGAAATACATAAAAAGAAAGGATTGTTTTTAAAATGGATTATAAAGCACAGTAATGATTTATGGATATTAGACCTTTCCAAATTACCTTCATAACCAAAAAATAAATTTTAGCAGCAGTTGGCATTGATGGAGTAGTTAATTTCCTGTAGCTATAATTTTATTTTCAATCTGGGGGACGAACTACCTTGCTGATTCTTACTGTTAACTTTCAAACTTGGATGAATTGGAAACACACCTGGATAAACTATAAAGGACACTGAGCCAGACGAGAAATGGGTCTCGTGTGAAGGTGGGTTTTAACGATACCCTGTAGCTTATCTGTGGTTATGATAAAACAGGCCATTGTACAGTTTAGTAAAATACTGGGGCCCTAGAATTGAAAAAAAGAAAAAAAAAAAAACCTGACCATCTTCGGGAGTTGATTTTCTTAATATATGTTTTCTATTTTAATTTAGATAATATAGCACATGGAATATATCTCTAAGTGGTTTATTTGTTTAGTCCCCAGTCTCCCTTCCAGTTTTATTCACAGAGATTACAAATTATAGGGATGTTTCAGTTTGTGTTTTATGAGGAATTTATGAAGTAAAGAACCAGAATTTTTGAAGTGAAGGGGAGTAAAGGTATAGAGAGAATTCTAGTAAGCTGCGGTTGGCCCTTGAGAAAGCCTTAAAATTTATCACTTTAAAAACATTTACTGTTGAGGGTTTAGGGAAATATTTGTTACTTTCCAGTGTGATTGAGGCCCAATCATATTATGACAATATTGCTTTTTAAAAAAATTAGAGACTGTTATATGAATAGGGTAAAATGTAGCATGTTCTAATTCATCAGAGCAATGTATTTAAATTAAAAAAATATTGTTACCAAGCGACTAAAGTATGCAAAGAGCCTTTTGTGACTTCTTGTAAGTTAACAATTATATATAACGATTATTTTACCTTGAAAAACAAAAATTTTACCTTGGAAAAGTAAAATCACTTTTTGAATTATAACCAATGAATATATCCGTTTTCTCAGGTTTTATTTTTGTGTATAATTCTATGATGTCCTTCTTTTAGAGAAGAGTCCTTCTCCAGAGATAAGAACAATTATTTTTAGCTTGGTAGAAACCATAGGAGCAAATAGAAATTTCATGCAGTGTTTTACGAAGGGTTTTTAAATGAAAATATATGCACATATTTTGAATTCTGTACTGCATACTTCACAATTGTAATTTCTTTTTCTATTTGGTCTTGTTTTTCTTCTAAGGAAATTATATGATTTTTACTATAGCCTAAAATGGAATAGAGTGTTGATAGGAAGACCTCTTCTTAGGAACATGAGGCACGTTCAAAGTTCCAATCCTTTCTTTACTAAAATCAGCAAAAATTCTTGATCGTTACAGTAGAATATAGTCAGCCTTTCTGTCCCCAGCGTACTTGTCAACCTATTGTAAGTCATTTTGTGATTAACCTGGTTTATAAGTAACGGATTTTTTAGTCTGTGTAGGTAAATATAATAAAAGTTTCAGAGCATTTGCTCTATCAGAGGCATTCTGGTTCTTTTTTCCTCCAGCTCTAACCAGCAAGCTACTGTGGGTTTTTGGAAACCCTGTGGATTTCACCACCTCATTCAGAAACTTTTTTTTTCTTTCATTTTTTTTTCTTTTTCTTTCTTTCTTTTTTAAAAATAGTGTCAAAGCCTGACCCAATCCTTTTCACAAGTAGTCCTTTGTTTGCATGCAAAAGACCTTTCCTTAAGATGAAGTGCTGGGATTTACCCTCATTGCCATAAATCAGAGAAGGTGAGCTGGCTGATAGGATTTTTTGAATTATACTCAGCCAAGATCCTGGTCTGGGATCTGGGCTACCAGGGACCCGAAAAGAGGAGCAGTGATTGATCATCTGTTTTCTTTCATGCTGACTTCTCCTTAATCCCTGGAAAGTGGCAAGATAGATTCTCAGTTGTCACACGTGGAACTACACAAGGCTCTTACTAAATGTTCTCTCTGTCCCTGTGATTTCCCTTGCAGTTGGCTGAAGAGCTTCAGAACAAGCCATTAAACAGTGAGATCAGAGAGCTGTTGAAACTACTGTCAAAACCCAATGTGAAGGTGAGGACGCGTAAGAAATACCTTCCAGAAGGGCCACTTTCTGAGACTTCAGATGAATTCTGTTTTGAGCATCAATTTTCAAGTGAATGTATTTTCAAACAGTGTGCAGTATTTTAATAACCTAAATTCCATTGAGGAAAAAAAGTTGAGTTTTTGATGATAACGGGACCAACTACAGATGACTTTAGTTGGGAAGCTCAGGATTTAAGTTGTTGAATGTGATGTCATTTCAAGGTCAATTTCTTTTTAAATGAGGGTAAGAGTACAGAATACAACCTATTAGTGATTTTGTTTAGGTTCATTTTATTTCATTGTTGAGTGGTATTCTAATATATTTGACACCTGTATCTATTTTGCTATCGGATCATTTCATCTTTCCTCTTTCCCCTCCCTCTTTGTCTTCCCCATCTCCTCTCCCTCTACTGATTCATGTTTTAATATATACTACCATTTTGCAGAGCAGAGCAGTTTTCCAGTGTAAAATACTAGTAAAATATTGGTGGGCAGATTTCAATTCTCCTTGCCATTTTTTTATTGAAGAATAGTTGACATAACAACATTGTATTAGTTTCAGGGGTACAGCATAGTGATCTGATATTTATATGCATTACAAAATGGTCACTGCAATTAGTCTAATTACTGTCTGCCGTCATACAAAGTTGTCACAGTATTACTTTTTTTTTTCCCCTCTGTGGTATATTACACTCCTGTGTTTTACATATTTTATAACTGAAAATCTGTTCATTTCCTTCACCTATTTCATCCCTTCCTTGCCATTTTTCTTCCAGGTATATCATTTGTCTTTCCTCTAAAGGTGCTTGGTCAGCAGAAGTCATTACAAAAATTTCCTATTAATTCTAAATTCATTAATGCACTAAATCCTACAACCTGTACATTTTGGACTTGATACTTTTTCACAATTACACGTGAGGTATTATTCCATGAATGAATTACATGTGGATTATGTAATTCAAATGATCAGTTATCTTTTTTTTTTTAAAGATTTATTTATTTGAGAGCATGCAAGTTGAGGGGAAGGGGTAGAGGGGGAGGGAGACTGTCCAGCAGACTCCCTGCTGAGTACAGAGCCCAACTTGGTGCTCGATCTCACAACCCTGAGATCATGACCTGAACTGAAACCAAGAGTTGGAGGCTCCACTGACTGAGCCACCGAGGCACCCCAGAATGATCAATTATCTTATGACAGTTTCTATTAAACATATCTAGGCTCTCAGATGAATATTTCTGTCTAGATGCAAAAATTGATTTCTGCTTTCCTTGAAAAATCTCCTTTGGAACTGTGCTATAATGGCTTCAATTGATGGTCAAAAAAGGTAGTATTAAATAAAAGATGAACTGAAAACATGATCCAGCTTTAATTCCTAATCCTTAGAAGTAAAGTAAGTGCTGTCAATTAATAAATGGGCTATAATTAGTAATTTAGAGTAATTGACTTACACTGGTACAGAGGAGATTGGTTGAATTTTAGTTCTAAAAGAATAAGGATCAATTTTGAGCAAAATATCTGCTTGAAATTAAAGACAATATATGTAGACAGGTTAAGAGCTCAGAAGAGATTGATAGCTAGAGAAAGTTCTGAAAAGTCTTCATTTCATCTCAGAGAACACATGAGAAGTTGATGCGAACCCAAGAATGGTGAGGTTAGCTCTGAGCAACTTGTTAAACTCCTCCTTGAGAGTGGCACCTTGGTTTGCATATTAGGAATTGAAGAAGAATGTTTCTAACAAAACAACATGATTTTGGTATTCTTTTTTAAGAGTGTTTGGAGTGGAGTAGCTAATAAGGAAGAGGTTATACTGGGTGGAAACTGGTATGTGGCTCGAAAGGGAGGTATGATTTTTTATTATATTTAGCACTCTTGGATAAAACCTTATAATTAAATCCTGAAACTTTGTTATGCTGAAAATATTTTAGATAAATACTTTTAAAACTTTTTATGTTTATGTAGCCATGGGATAAAAGAATGGGTGAGAAGCTATCATGAAAGATGTATTTTCAGGGAGTGATGTTTGGGAAGTGGGTAAGATTGTAGATGGCTGAGGTTGCAGTTGTCAATGACAGTTTCTAGTTACCAGTCTTGGGGACAGCAATCTTTCTTCCCTTTATGACCTAACATTTAGCATTGCTTTCCTTGAAATCAATTATATTAAATAGCATCAACTTGAATTTCACTTTTTTTTAGGCAGTTACTTTAAGAAGTCATTTAGTAAACTAAAATGTTTGCTTTTCTTTTTTTTTTCTCTGAAAGCAGAAGCAAGTTGTAGTAGAATATGACAGGTACACATGAATTAAAAGTTGAACCGACAGTTTAAATATGGAAAGTGTAACTACAGGGCGTTAACTTGAATACTGTTTTTGAATTTTTAGTGGACAAGGGAAGTAATTATTTACTTGTTAAAGATGGCTGTTCCATTTAAAATATTCAGTTCACGATAGTGAAAAGGAACCTGAGGTGTACGTCCAAGTAATAGTGATTTTTTTGTAAACACACAGAGATAAATACAACCAAATATATAGGCACTATGAGAAGGACAATATGTGTATCCCACAGATCTGCCAATTCCTTTTTGAAAAACTTCAATTTGAAATATTTTTTTAAAATTTTACTTAATTTTTTTCAGTGTTCCAAGAGTCATTGTTTATGCACTACATCCCGTGCTCCATGCAATATGTGCCCTCCTTAATACCCACCACCAGGCTCACCCAACCCCCTACCCTTCTCCCCTCCCCTCCAAAACCCTCAGTTTGCTTCTCAGAGTCCAGTCTCCCATGGTTTGTTTCCCCCTCCGATTTCCCCCAATTCCCATCTCTTCTCCATCTCCCCATGTCCTCCATGTTATTTGTTATGCTCCACAAATAAGCGAAACCATATGATAACTGACTCTTTCTGCTTGGCTTATTTCACTCAGCATAATCTCCTGCAGTCCCGTCCATGTTGATACAAAAGTTGGGTATTCATCCTTTCTGATGGAGGCATAATACTCCGTTGTAAATATGGACCACATCTTCCTTATTCATTTGTCTGTTGAAGGGCATCTTGGTTCTTTCCACAGTTTGGCGACTGTGGCCATTGCTGCTATGAACATTGGGGTACAGGTGGCCTTCTTTTCACTACATCTGTATCTTTGGGGTAAATATCTAGTAGTGCAATTGCAGGGCCATAGGGAAGCTAAGAGCAGTGGAAAGTCATTGAAAGGATTTAAGTAGGCAAATGACATAGTTGCTCTAGTATACAGATTCTTGGAGTGGAGGGGTGGTGGTAGGGTGGGAGGAGTGGATGCTGAATGGAGGAAGGCCATCTGGAAGCCTGTGGAAGTAATTCAGGTGAAACATGATTATGGCCTTAGTGAAGGATGTGAGGGATGGATGGAAGTGGGGGATGGGTGGAATTGGATGTAGCTTCAATACATGGTATTGGCACACGTGGTTAATTATTGGGAAAAAATAACCTATATAGAATGCATATTATATGTAATATACAATGAATTCCAAATAAATTAAAGATTTGAGTGTAAAGGAATTGAACCATAATCATGGGATAAAGAAGAAATATTCACAACCTCAGGAAGACAGACAGACAGACACACACACACACACACAGGAAAATTTTTTAAAAATCCATGAATGTGGTTAGAAGGAATTACTTATTTATATAAACAATCTACATTTGTCTTTAATAAGGTTGTGATCATTTATTACTTTGACTTTAATTTTACTTTCTACAAAGGGATTTGATAAACCAAATAAAATAAATTTTCTTGATAATGTGTAATTGTATTTTTAAGTCCAACTATGGAGAAAGTAGAAGTTCCTATTTTCATTGCTCTGTTTGGGAAGATGACACACGTTTCACAGACAAAATAGAAGGTCATTAAATATATGGCATGATGTTTATCTTCAGTTTGGATCATGGTCCTGGGGTCCTGGGTTCCATTTTCTTGTTGGGCTCCTGCCTCTCCCTCTCCCTGCACCCTGCTTATGCTCTCTCTCACTCTCTCTCTCCAAGAACAAACAAACAAACAAACAAAAGATTGAGAGAGAGCTGGGGGGTAAGGGTAGAGGGAGAGGGAGAGATAGAATCTCAAGCAGACCCTCTAGTGAGCATGTAGCCCGACACGGGCTTTGATCCCACAACCCCAAGATCATGACCTGAGTTAAAATCAAGATTCGGATGCTTAGCCAACTTAGTCACCCAGGTGCTCCTGCATTTTTTTCCATTATAAATAGAATGTACTACTTTTTGTTTTGTATTATTTTGTGGATTTTTAATATTGTGGCATTCTGTGGACTTGTTTTTGAAGCAACATAATTGTCTACCTCTAAAAGATAAGTTAGATAACTCTGCTTTTTTTTGTTTTTTTTAAATAGCACTATAATTCACATCTCCCATATTTCAGAATTTTATTGAGTCAATAAGTTGCTGAACTAAAATATCTGTACATTTAAAATTTTGATAGTGATTGTCAGCTTGCCCTTCGCCATAATCTGGACAGGTCCTCTCAGTGTACAGTGCCCACAGGTGTGTGTGAGAAGTTCCTTTCCCCTGTGTCTTCACAAGCCCTATTTAATTAATGTTCTTTTTCAGATTTGTTAATTGATCACCCTAGGAATATATGTCAACACTTTCCCTATAGAGGTTGCCACCTTCAAGTCTCCAACAGCTAGGAAATGCTTGTCATTTTGTAACCATTGTTAAGAGTTAAAGCTTACATCCAGTAATTAAATCTCTGAATGGAGGGATGCCTGGGTTGCTCAGTCAGTTAGGCATCTGACTCTTGGTTTTGGCTTAGCTCACGATCTCAGGGTTTTGAGATGGAGCCCTGCTCTGGGCTCTGGGCTCAGTGCAGAGTCTGCTTGAGATTCTGTCTTGCGCTCCTTCCGAATTCGCTTGGTGTGCTCTCTCTCCCCACCCCAAATAAATAAATAAACAAACATTAAAAAAAAAATCTGTATATTGGTCAGTTGCCATATGCAAACAATAAGTAAAAAATTACTCTTATTACTCAATAATGTTTATTAAATCTAGTCTTATCGTCCAAATCTTAAAGTCCAGGAAAAGTAATGAAGCGTCAAAGAAACAACAGATGGTGAGAAAAAGGAAGTAGGGTAGTGAATAGCAGAAGGCCTCAGTAGATGAGATAGGGTGTAGGAGCTTCCTGCAGCAATGGAGTTGGTGGCCTTTGGGGGAGCTGATGAAAGGATGTGGATCTCTACTGAGACTTTGTTTCTACAGGAAGCAAAGAGAGTCATTAATAATAAGAACCACTTGGGGCACCTGGGTAGCTCAGTGGGTTAAGCCTCTGCCTTCGGCTCAGGTCATGATCTCAGGGTCCTGGGGTCGAGCCCCGCATGGGGCTCTCTGCTCAGCAGGGAGCCTGCTTCCCCCCTCTCTCTCTGCCTGCCTCTCTGCCTACTTGTGATCTCTCTCTCTCTCTCTCTCTGTCAAATAAATAAATAAAATATTTAAAAAATAAGAAGAAGAAGAACCACTCGTAAGCATCACATGGCCACATTAAAGGCAAATCAACCTTTGTGAATCACCATTCAGAGGCTCTCTTTTTGATAAAACAGTGAAGTGACATCATCTCTAGAACATGGTATTATAATTTAGAAAGGGAAAATTTGGTAGGTTTTTAAAAGGCAATAAAATAAAAAGATTTGTTGTAGTTTTTCAGCTTTCCAAAACGTGCATTTACCGGAAATTACTCATTGCCTGAGCATGTAGAATGGATGAGACTTTGTTTAAGCATGCAAAAGGGAAAAGTGAAGCTTCCTTCTGGAGGAATAAATCAGTGTTACTCATTCTTATGAGTTAGACGCTTAATTTTGTGGACTTGACAGATACTTAGAACATAGAATTGACTCCAGGGGGTCCAGAGCAGTGAAAGGCTGTGTGCCTGATGAGTTACAAGGCCTAGTGTTCAATTTCCTGCATAGTCTTCTAAGCAACAGGTAAACCCATCAGTTGTGAATTGGGGTGGTTATGGCATATGGAAATTCAATTTTCTTATTTCGGTGTGTTGTCTTTCAAAAGGACAATCTGTATATTGAAGAATAAATTCATCACAGTTAAAACAGGGAAATAGAATACAAAGTTACTTTTAGTTGTCCAAAATAGAATGTTGCTAACCAACAATATTTGTAAAGCAAAACTATTAAGAATTAGAAACTCAATATCTATAAATCTTAAAAATGTATTTTAGAATCCAGACATGGAGATCAATATAAAGCTAAGGAAGAAAAATACATAGCTGCTGTTGTTAATATTGCCTATCAACTATAATAATCACTCTATTTTAAAAATGTTTGTTAGCGATCTCTAATAGTCTTAACTATGTCCAAGGTAGTTTATCATAGATATCCAGGTAGTGAGCATTTCTGATGTCCTTCATTCAACTCTTTTTAGATCCATATCCATCCACTATCAGTCTTCCTGTCTGAAGGACTTCATATACCATTTTTTGTAGTGCAAGTCTCTCTGGTGATAAATTTCTTCAACTTTTGTAGGTCTTTATAAAGTCTTCTCTATCCCTTCATTATTAAAAGATATTTTTGCTGGGTATAGAATTTTAGGTTGCTGGTTTTCTTTACATATTTAAAAGATGTTGCTCTTTTATCTTGTAGTTCACATTGTTTCTGATGTGTGTTGTGATTTTAATCATTTTTTCTTTGGCTGATTTTAAGATTTTTTTCTTTCTCAGTGGTTTTAAGCAATTTGATGTTACTTCTTGTTTGTTTTTTGTTTGTTTGTTTGTTTGTTTGTGCTTGGATATGTTGAACTTCTTGGATCTAGGGGCTTTTTCCCCCTATTACCAAATTTGGAATATTTTCTGCCATATTTCTTCATATATTTTTTAGCACCTCTCCTTTCTTTGGAGATGCCAGGTAGGTGTATATAAGTTGTCCAGCCCAATAATGTTCTGTTCACAATTTTTTACTCTATTTTCTCTTTGTGTTTTCATTTTGGAGAGTTTATAAATTGTTTTAACTGTAAGCGTTAATTTCATTCAGTGTGCTTTTTAAAAAATTTCATACATTATGTCTTTTATCTCTAGAGGTTTGAATCTTCCGTATACATGGCAAATCTCATTTCTAGTGTTTCCTCTAGCTCTTTAAGCATTTGGGATACAGTTACAGTAATTATTTTAATTTTCTTGTCTGCAGTCTATCTGTAATTTTAGGATTTGGTTTTATATAATTCTGTCATCTGTGTAATTTTCAGGGTTTAGTTCTATGGTGTTACGTTGTTCTTCATTATGTGTAGTTATTTTCTTCTGTCTTCACATGCCTCATAACTTCTGTCAGTAATTGATTGACTCTCAGTTGTTGTGAGTTTTACTTTGATGATATTTTCATATTTTTATAGATGATATTCTTGAGGGTTTTTTTTCTGTTATATAATTAAGTTATGTGGAAATATTTTGATCCTTCAGAGACTTGCTTTTAAGCTTTGTTAGGTGAGATCTTAGCATTATATAATCTTGGATTAAGTATTTCCTACTATTAAGACAATATCCCTTTGTTAACTGTCCTCAATGCCCTGTGAATGCCAAGCTTTTCTCCTTAGACTGAAGGAAATAGGAGTTATTTCTGCTCTGTGTGAGCTTTGGGAATTGTTCCCTGTAAGGCAGTGTTTCTTAACCTTGTAACTATTGACAATATGGAGCTGGAAATTATTGGGGGGACGGAGCCGGGAAGGCAGGGAACTGCCCTGTTATGCTTTCAGAGGTTTAGAACCATCCCTGGCCTCTGTGCACCAAATGGCAGCAGCATCTTCCACTCTGTGACAATCTGAACTGTTTCCAGACATTGCCAAATGGCTACGGGGGAGTAAAATTGTTCTCAGCTGATAACCACTGCAGTAATTGTTTCTGATAATTTTTTTTTATATGCATATGGCTTGGCTGGAGACTCAAAGGGGACCTCCTACAGATCTCCAAAGCCGTGTGCCTGTCCCACCATCTTCTCTTTCATACTCTCCCCTGAGAATTTTAGTGCCTTGACCTCCCAGCATTCCTCACTGTGTTGTCTCACCTTAGGGAGACCAGTGGGTTCTGCCTGGATACCTACTTCCCCCACATGGCCAGGAAACTCTGGGCTTATGACTCTCAAATTTGTTTCCTCTCTCTCAGTAATCACTGTCCTTCATTGTCTGATGTCCAGTATCTTCCAAAACCATTGTTGCATCTTTTATTTTTTTATTTTTAGGTTTTCTGTCTTCTACTTTTTTCCAGTGGGGTCCCTATTAACTTCATCTTGGCTCTCATCCTCATTCCTGAATGGTATTTTTGCTAATACATAATTCTGGGCTGACTGTTATTTTTTTTCTAATCACTTTCAAGATATTTCACTGGCTTCTGGTTTCCATTGCTGCTAATCAATCAGCTCTCAGTCGTTTTTTGTTTTTTTTTTCTTGTATTTTTAAGATCTTCTGTCTTTGGCATTTTGTAGTTTCACTATAATATGTATCTAATCTTGGGTTTCTTTTTATCTCTTTTTTTTTTTTTTTGTTAAATTTAAATTTTATTATGTTCAGTTAGTCAACATATAGTACATCATTAGTTTCTGATGCTGAGCAGAGAGCCAGATTCGGGGCTTGATCCCATGACCCTGGGATCATGACCTGAGACAAAGGCAGAGGCTTTAACCCACTGAGTCACCCAGGCGCCCCGTAAGAGCCTCCTTTTCAAATAGTTGCCTGTTATGATTGTTAAGTGAAAATTATAATACATTTGATTTTCTTTATACTTGGATACACTTGGGATTTTATATTTGATTAATTTTTTCCCAAACGTTGATTTTGCTAGGCTTTGCTCTCTGTACATGATACTGTGGCTCAGAAGAATTACGATCCTGTATTACCGCCGATGCCAGATGATATCGATGATGAAGAAGACTCAGTAAAAATCATTCGTCTGGTCAAAAATAGAGAACCCCTGGTGAGTTGTGGTCTACATTTTGTGCTTAGATATGAATAGATATCATGATAAAACCAAACCTGATGGGGACATACTATTTATTCCTCTCTTTGAAACATAATTTTCCTGTGTTGTTAAACTTGAAAACAGAGTATACATGTCTAAAAAACATTATTTAGAAAAATGGGGAAAAAAGCCAAATAAAATGGTGTGCATTTTCTTGGTTATAAATAGCAATAATTTGTAAGATGGGATTTTGACATTTATAAAAGAAAGCATAATGTGCCAGTCACAGCTGATTAAAGATTAAAAGGTGCAACCAAAAATAATTGCTTATGGCTCTTTTAGAAAGCTGATTCATTTTAAAGTAAAGAGAAAAAATTTATCAAATATCTATTATTTCAAAATGTAAATGTAAACATTATTTCAAAATGTTATTTTAGCACTAGAATTTATACAATGTCAGATTACATCAAGGGGGTTATGGTGGGCAGAATGATGCCCAGTGATGTCATGTCCTAGTCTTCAGAACCTGTGAAATATTATTTTAAATATCAAAGGGACTTGTCATGATTTGGTAAGAATCTTGAGATGGGAAGATTATCCTGGTTTAGACGGTGGTCCTTCTGTCTTCACAAAGATTTTTATTGAAGTGGAAAGGGGAGGCAGAGAGGCAGAGTCATAAGAGGCGATGATTTAAAGCAAAGGTTGATGTTGCCATGAGCCAAGGAATGCCAGAAGTTTCTAGAAACTGGAAGAAGCTCACGGATCAGATTCTCTCCTAGATCCTCCAGAAGGAGCACAGCCCTGTTGACACCTTGATTTTAGCCCCAGACACTCATTTTGACGCTCTGACCTCCCGAACTATAAGATATTTGGGTTGTTTTAAGTCACTACCTTTGTATGGCGCATTTGTCACAGCAGTAGGATATGAGTATGGAGTGCATCCATATTTTGATGAAACTACATTCAGAAGAAAAGTAAATGTTATTGTCTAGCAGTTGATTTTAAATGTGTTGTGGCTCATTTTGACTACTTAAGACATTTTTGTGTTTAATGTTGATAATAATTTTATGCTTTTCATCTATGGTTATAAGCTCTGTACAGGTAACCTAATATCTCTTGGTATTTATTATGAAGGTGACATACTTAGTAAGGCCAAACAGTATGTAGTTTAGGTATAGAAAGATCTACCTCAGGGCCTATCACCCTGAAGTGACTAATTCTTGGTGGCTTCTGTGTATCCGTCAGTAAGAAGCGCATTTTTTGTTTTGACAAATTCAGGCTCTTAGATAATCGAAAGGATTTCAGTAATTCCTTAGTAATCATTTCTTGGATCAGTCATAGTTTCCCCAGGGGCGGCAAGGTTTTGGGTGTGTTGGTTTGGTGAGCTAACATTTAAACCGCCATCAGCGACGTGTAAGTCCCAAGCCTCTCCTGATCGAATCAGATCTTCCAGATGTTTGTCAGAGAAATTAGGCGTACACTGCACTGAGATGTTTCAAAAGTTTTAACTGTGCCTGCTGAAAATCAGTTTCCCTCTAACAAGCAATTGAATGAATTATACAGAATACCCTGACGTGGTGTTATCATACTTTGTTCCTGAACATATCACGTGCGTTAGCTAGTATGTATGTAACCACAGAAGTAATTAGCCCTAACGTGTACATCATCAGCCTTTGTCGGTTAGCTTCTTAAAGTTTATATCCTATAGTATGTTTAAAATGAGGATCTGAACTAGGGTAATGGCGAGAGCTATATATGTTAGGTTTGATCAGACCAGGAGGATCTTTAGATAATACAGTGCAAGGGAAGAGAGGAAGTAAAAACTACCCCAGGACGTTATTTAGGGGGGGAGAAGTACTGTACGTTTGGTTAGCAAGAATAGAAGGAAAGGCATGGGAATAAAAATTTCAAGTTTCCCTACGGTTAGACAGAGCCTGTGGGGCTATGCAGGTGCTAAGAAAAGGCTGGAAATTGTTAATTACAACTTAACAATTACATTAAGTTGTTTAAAAACTAATTATTTCTTGGGGAGCCTGGCTCAGTCAGTTGAGTATCTGACTTTTGATTTTGGCTCAGGTCATAATCTCAGAGTCATGGAGCCTCCTTAGGATTCTCTCTCTCTCTCTCACTCTCTTCCTCTGCCTCTCCATGCTAAATAAATAAATAGGTAGATAGGTAGATAGATAAGTAAAATTTAAACATTATTTCTCTTAAGCATGAGAATGTTTTCTGGATTTGTAACATTTGTATATTCTGGAGATATCTTAAATATTTCTTGGAATTGTTCAGTTTCTTATTCCTGTATCATGGTATAATTTGGCAATTTTGTATGCTTAAGAGCATTTTCTTTCTACTTCCTCATTTTCTCTCCCTCTTATGTGGGGTGTTTAAAAATTCTAATTCCATTGCATTTTTATCCATTATTCTTATTCTGCTTTTTGCCTCTTTTTACATAAATTAAAAAAAAATTTTTCTCTGTTTCTCCATGATTTAAAAGTAAATTAATAATCAAAGTTTTCCCCCAAACTTATGCAGTTAACTTCTTTGCATGCTAGGTTTATTTTTTATACTAATATTCCATATATAAGGCAATTTCAAGTGCTTTTAAGTTATTTTACTTTAAAAAAATTATTTTAGTCACTGGTCCTTTGTCTTCCTTGTAAGCCACAATTTGTGTCTTTTTTGTTCAAGGAGTTGTATTTAAAAAACAAAACAAAACAAAACAAAACGCAAATAGAAAACAACATCTACATGGGATGGAGAACTCCCCCAAATTATTTGTTAGGATTCCTGAAAAAAGTATTAAGATTTCCAATGTCATTTCAACTTTGGAATATGAGATCAAGGAAGGCAAATTACTTGTCTTGAATTTTTTTCATCCAAATGTATAATTATTGTATTATTTTTAGTTTGACAGCTATTGTAAAGTAAGAGTATTGGATGAATAAACTTAAAGTTTAAAAAATGAACTAGCCAGAAAAGTAGAAAATAGTAATTTTCAACAAGCTTGTCATTTTGTATTTGTCAAATGTCATTTGTCATTTGGAGAGGTTATTGGAAAAGCCACAACCACCAAAGGGGTAGGGGGTGGGGGGAGAAGAAGAAACTGGGAGAAGATTGAGTCTGAGGCATCCTTAGGAGAATGAATCCAAGCAGTTAAGAATCAAATAGTTAAAATGAGGGATGCCAAGCTGAAATAAAATTCTAGTGATTAGATGGTTAGTAAATGTTTGGCAATGATTCAGGAGGAAAGGCCATAAGATTTAGCAATCAGGGGGTTAGTTTATCAGTGTTATTTAAGAGTGTAATTTGGGGGGCACCTGGGTGGCTCAGTGGGTTAAAGCCTCTGCCTTCGGCTCAGGTCATGATCCCAGGGTCCTGGGATCGAGCCCCACATCAGGCGCTCTGCTCAGCAGGGAGCCTGCTTCCTCCTCTCTCTCTCTCTGCCTGCCTCTCTGCCTACTTATGATCTCTGTCTGTCGAATAAATAAAATCTTTTAAAAAATGTAATTTTGGGGGCACCTGGTGACTCACTTGGTTAATGATCTGACTCTTGATTTCAGCTCAGATCATGATCTCAGGGTCCTGGGATTGTGTCCTGCATCAGGCTCTGTGCTTGGGGAGGGAGTCTGCTTGAGGATTCTCTCTTTCTCCCTCTGCCCCTCTCCCACCCACTCACTCACTCCTGCCACACACTCTCTCTCTCTCAAATAAATAAACCTTTTAAAAAAATATAATTTTGTTTGTTAGACTGAGTTATAATGCAGTGAAATAAATACCAAGCTTGCATTAGATGACCTAAATGGGAAGATTTATGGTGTCACTTATTTGCTCTCTATCCTTATAGGAAAAAGTCACTTAGCCTCTCAGCCTTATTAGATAATCAGGAGATATACTTCTACAGGAGTGTTTTGACTATCCCCTAGCATAATGTATTTGAAATGTTTTGTAAGTTTTTATGCATTACCACACATTATGTGACTGTTTCACAGAATGATGATATGGTAGGAGCTCTAAATGACAGTTATTGAAGGAGAGGACCATTTCCAGGGAAAAGAGGCAGTGAACACAGATCATGTAGGTATTTGCCATGGAAAGGTGAGAGGGAGATAATTTGAGGGAAGCGATGGTTAAATGAATGGAGAAAAGGAGAGGAAAGACTGGTCAGGATGCAGGGAGCAGAGCTGTCCTCCCTCCCCATGTTTTTAGAACAATTTGTATCCATTTTATACAGAAATAATAATAATACTAATTTTTAAACAAGCTTAAGAAAATGACATTCTGTTAGTGAGTGAGTGGACTATGATCCTGAATTCAGTTTCTGGCATGGGTCTTCCTTTCTTCCTTCAGAACTGCAGTGCTCGAACTCAGTATCCGAAGAACTACCTGAGGTGATTACCTAAAATGCAGACTTCCCAGCTTCTATCCCCTAGAGAGTCTGCATCAGTAGGTTTTATATGGGGCCTGGAATCTAGATTTTTAAAAAATGTCTCCAGTATTCTTGATGCAAGTGTTTGGTAGATGATACTTAAAACCATGTTGATTTCAAAGGTTCAACCTGAAATCACCTGTGCTACTAGCTGAAGGAGGAGGTCTTAGAATATTGGAATATTGTAGGAGATGCAATTTTTATGTAGAACATCATGGTAGCCCAGTCTCAGCAATCCTCTTTTGTAAACTAATTTACAGCAGTAACAAGACACATTTAAGCAGAATTATAGAATAATGGGATGCCTGGGTGGCTCATTTGGTTCTGTGTCCAACTTTGATTTCAGATCAGGTCATGATCTCAGGGTTGTTGAGATCAAGCCCTGTGTAGGGCCCTGTGCTGAGCGTGAAGCCTGCTTGAGATTCTCTCTTGCCCTCTCCCCCTGCCCCTCCCCTGTTTGTGTGTGCGCACTTTATCTCTCTCTCCAAAATCATATGGAATACGTTTAGAATACCTATATAAGAAAATATGGAAGAACTAAAACATTTGATACAATTTTAATTCATTTTTGCCTTTGTAGACTTTT